AATCCAACCTAGCAGACAAAGATAGCTCTGAAGTCTCTCTTGGTGGAGACACACACACTACAGCGACGTCCAAAAGCTCGTGGTTGCACATGTTTCATCTTGTTCTTGTGTTTGATTTACCAGACCCGTCATCATCAGCCTCGGGGAACGTTGCAAGATATTTCGACACAATCTACGAGCAAATTGCATTCACTGTTACTGCTGTGCTTTTCCAAGAACAGGTTCTGTCAAACTTTGTAGAATTGGAGTGTGATGCGATTGGTTCGCTAGAAACCGAGTATATGATAAAAGGTTAATCGCGCCCGGCACTCGTGGAGCACATGTCGCTGACGTGCATACCTAGGAGAGCCTTTCTCTGACTTTGCATCGCAGGCACAACGAGTGTCATCTATTGCTACTGCGATGAAATATCTCTATGATGCCATCAAGTCATCTAGCATGGCCCACATCACTCTCAACGATCTCCCCCTCGAACTGCAGCTCCCCCCTTATTTGGACCACTTATTACACAGCGAAGAGGAATCTGAACTTGAATTCGTCGGTCGTCTCGAGAATCAAACCGATTCTCAGCTATGGGGCCGCGAGCTCAGTTTTGGATGGCGCCTGCCAGCCCTTGTGCCTTGGAAGAGTTTGCTTCTCCTTGATGCTGACCAGGATCTGGACCCGTATGCGAACTTGAGAGGGTCGCACGTGCACGCTGAAGAGAGAAGCTTGGCAGAGGGTCTGATCAAGTTTCTTGAAACCGCTTCTGTCACGTTATCGTGAGTCTACTTTCGTATCGTGGATATTCCAAGATAACAGCGCTTTCAGATTGGCAGACATGGCGAGTTTGCTTGACTGGGACCTACATTCCCAGGTATATCCAACTGTTCGCTGGTTAGTCCACCACCGACGGGCCAAGATTGTCGACACAGTCCACAATGGATTGAAGACCATCTTTTCGATTGCTCCTAAGCTTGATAAACCGTTAGTACATAATGCAGTTCTTCTGTTTTGTGATCATTAATTTGAATGCAGGCTTACTACTCTTACTGCTGAATTCAAACGTGATTTCCCACAGTCGTCCATCTCACCCCTCCCTACGCTAATGGCCACGATCTCCGATTCTAATTCCAAGCAGGCCGATAACCACTTTTTTGCGACGGTCGTGCAGTCCAAAGATCTCATATCTCTGTACCATGAAGTCGTGCTTTGGATGCTGAAACGCGATCTCCTTATTACACTGCATCTGCATGTGCGCGTAGTCACTACTACTGAGCTCAAAGTTCACGTCAGACAAACACACGAACGGAAGCTGGAGCGACGGGTGAGTTACCATCTTCACGGGCGCCGGAGAAGCAGCCGCAAGGGCGATCATGGTGTGGGTGATGCACACGAACATCCACGAGTAAACACTCCCTGGTTGTCACTTTCGCCCAAAGCTGCTAAGCGGTACCCGAGACGGTCTATAGACTCAGGGCAGAGCAAGCCCAACGATGTATCGGGGTCGATCCTGCTTGAGGATGCTGAAGATGTCTTTGACGAAATATCTGAAGAAGATTCAGGAGAGGAGAATGTTGGTTGGGGATCATCTGAGGATACTCTTGAGCCTTCAATGATTAGCGATCCGGGAACAGCGAGTCCGTTAGAGCGAAAGTGGTTAGCAGCTATGTCGGAGGGGAAGGATGAATATATTGCGAGACGATTTGCACTGTCAGTTTTCGATTTGCTTTGTTTACTAACGTTCCTTTGACACGTTTTCAGGATCAATCAGTACTTCGATGGTAAGCGAACGGACGACGAGATTCTCTACAGAGCAGAAATATCACGCAAGCAGCTTCGAGAGGTGTTGCATCATTATGAAGAATATGTGAGTTCCGTGTTTTATCAACTGCACCACACTGATGCACCTGTATAGCTACAAACTTTCTTGCATCCTACGTGACCGTATTACGCTCGCTCGTTTCACGCCTCCCTAGTGTCACTCATACACTCTGAATATTAATACGGTGACATCACCGAAGTTCGTGCTCGAGGCTCAGGACAGAATATGGCGGGCAAGGGGTAGAAAAAAAGCTTGAATCCATCAGGGTCCCTGAATTCACAAAACAACGGTTTTAACACAGGATATATATTCTCCATCGCGAGGGGGAATCGTGATCTTTGTAGATGGACCAGACCCACCAACATGTGGGTCTCTTCTTGGAATAACGAGAGATGTAATTTTTTTTACATGATTATGGATAGGTCAATCATAATGATACATGTCCGAGAGTAGACTGGTGACCAGTCAGGGTTTAGACTATGTATTATGGTGACTGGTCACGAGTCTAGCTGAGTATTAGGTGTTTTGTAACTCTGCCCCAACGATAGTAGAGGAATCTTATTATAATACTTGCTAGTACAACTCAGATGTCCGTATCAAGCTAACTCAATTGACTGCGCTTCTATTGTCTGCTGCTTGCGATACCCGTGTGTCGCACAATGAGACTAAGAATATTTCTGTGGCGGGTGAAGCTTACTGATCCTTGCTGGGAATCTTCAGTGCGTCCATTCGTCCATATGTCTAGTGTATTCTTGCGCAGGTTCAGGGGATCAAGGTCGTCGTTCACTTGTTGGATCGAATAGAACAACTAGCTGATCATGAGAAGGCATCGGGATTTGGCAAACCTATGACAAAGTACAAGGCAGCGGCCCACACACAACACGTCGCGGCAGCCCAAAAGGGACGAGAGTCGAGAAGGGGTGTGAGGGTCCAGGTATTCGTCCTGTTCTGTTCAATTGAAGTGGAACGTGCGATTGTTGTCCTGCACGTTATCAGTACAAATGACACAGTTCCGCTGTATTCCTACATTCAAGCGTATGTTCATGCGTAGTCCGTGTGGACCCAGCCAAGTAATCGCTCAGCTTTACTACAGTCGAAAAATCCTTTCGTGCCACTCTCAACCCAGCCAGGTTTTACTGGCACATTTGGGAAGTACTTCTCCTTCAGTTCTAGCCAGTCCTCGTCGGCAGCCAACTGAGGCGCAGTAATGAAAAATGTCTCGTGCCCTGTCCAATGGTCCATTTCCACAGTCACTGCACGAAGGAAAGCGTCTGCTGCTGAGTCCATTTGGACGTAGCCCCAGAGGTCACCTCGGGCGCGGAAGTAATCCTGTCTATAGGCACGTGCGCACGTAGGGACGAACATGTGGATGCGGATGCTTGCAACTCGCATAGATGGGTATCTTCGGACGATGGTATTTGCTTGCATCTCAGAAATTCTGGCAGAATTCAGTCAGGCTCTATTATTATTCCTTCGATGTGACAAATATTAAGTTAATCACAATTTGGAAAGCCCGTAAGGTTCGTCAGGCTCGCATGGGTGATTCTCATCGATCGGAAAGTAGTGAAAAACGGGCTCTGTGCTGAATACCCCACGCAAGACATTGACTGAGGATGCCAGTGCAACACGATTTATTCCTAACTGAGGATATTTAGTCAATATATCATCAGCAGGATGTTTTCTGAGTCACCTCGGCAGCTGCACGCAGGACATTCCAAGTGATCACGACATTGCTGCAGATGGCGGGTGTCTACCTTCAAGAACTTGAAGTACTGTGACGGAGGGGATCTCTTACTCGTTGTGCACCTTGGTCTTGTAGTCCATCGGGTGTGGAAAAGCTGCCAACTGGATGATTGCATCACAATCCTCGAAAACCTTCAAAGTCGCATCAAAGTCCTTCAGGTCCACTGGGTGGAAAGAGAAAGCAGGATTGTTGTAGAAGTCGGTATCTTGTGCAATGACACAGTCTGCGCCGACTGCGATGTGCCCTTCCTTCAGCACCCAACGCACAACACGTCTCCCTACGCCCCCATTGCATCCAGTGATAGCAATCTTCATTGTCAGGACTCAGATGGAAAGAGAGGGAAAAGCTGGTCTAAAGTATGCTTACTGTTACTTGATTTATCCTGGCGAATCTCCGTCAAAGTCAGCAGGACAGGACCCCGATCCCTAGTACAACACATGTACGGCCCGGGTATGACTTATAGACTAAATAGTATGTCAAGCACTAGTCGGTGTTCTGTCGAACTCCGACGTATCGGTACCAGAGGCCGAAAGATCCGAGATGAAGACGTCAGGGGGAGAATAGAGAGGTACGAGCGCAGCCAAAAGAAGACGAGCGAGCGACGCAATGACGTCGGCTCGTACTCGTCCATATTACAAAGTTTATTTTCTCAATATCGCGTTTCCATGCTAAATACTATAAATCTTCGAGTAGATTCATCCAAGCATCTCAGTTCTTACTAGAAACTGAGATGTGAGCCGTTTTATGGTTTCACGCACGCTTTACAGTACCATCAGTGAACCGGTGAGGAAAGTAGATAGCAATAAATAACAATATATAGTACATAATCACAAGAACTAGCATAATTTTGCTATCGACAATCACATTGTTATGTTTGGCCTTATAGAGGAAAGACGCGTCCCTGATTATCGTATAAAATTTTATGAAATGCCATAACATCAGGAAAACCCTCCTGGGCTAAATATACGTGATTATCAAAGATTATTCAAAAATTTCTCATAATTTCTCAAAAGACGTCTGATTTGAAGGATTTGAAGGATTAGAAGGATCACATGGATTATGTTACCCCAAATAACTTTGACAGAATTAGTTACAATTATTAGTTATTTGACAAATTTGTCGTGCATTTGAGAGACCATCCATTCAAAGTGTTATTCACAAATCTAAACACATCAGACAGCATTACACGAACAAAATGGTTTTTTATTAGGAAATGGTATGTAAAGTAGCAACACAGCTAGTAATGACCGACATGGACACTTGTATCAATCAGCGCTCTCAACAAATCAAAAAGGTACATAAAATGAAAGGAGTAGAGCACTAGTCTGACTCCTTCATCCCATCAGGGTCAAGCAGTTTCAGAGGCAAATCGGTGAAGAACCACCACCCATTAGCGTTTCCATATCTCCACAAGTGCTCGTCATAGAAGCTGCACACCTGTGTGATTTGTCAAGACTTGTGGTTTCCCTGTAGAATTGTGACGTGGTCGTGATACCATAACTTGAGTGCCACAAGCAAAAGTCGATCGATGTAATCGCCCATGAAGAGGTAGTTGGCATCTGGCAAGTTTCTGCCAAAACGAAGTACAAGGAGCACAATATGCACACAAGACAAGATCAGCGGTCCAGATTACAAGAATAAACAGGAACGCACAAATTGACCATGAATATCCCCGCACACAGTTACTGGGCATCGGTCCCCTGGCAATCTCAACTTCCTGCAAGCCAAGTCAGAAGCCGGCAATGAGGACTAGGAAAAACTTACTGCACGGCATCGTAAATGTCTCTCACAACCACGGGCACCAGCTTGAGGTATCAGGTGTGGTGGTTGCTGATGTCAGTAGTGATGGCCAGGTCTGGTCCTGAACCACGGTTCGAACCCGAACTGTTTCGAACCTGACCGAAGTCCGGTTCAAAGTTCTGGCAATAGGGAGAACCGAACTGTCGGTCCACGGTTCGAGGACTTGTAGAATTCTTGAACCGCAGGCGCAGTGCAGCTGTGCTCGTGACACGCTGTGTGTGATGCGTTCGGGTCATCATGTATCATTTTGGGGCTGCATGGGACTACGATCGTGTTGCTGGTGTATTGGTGGTTGGTGGGTCCGCTGTATTGGTGGTGACTGTGCTGGGAGGAGCTGGCAGGTGCTAGGCTGCTGCTTGGTGTGTATGAACACGTGATTGGTGGACCGGTGGGTACAAATCCAGGTGGGAGGCCTGGAGGTAAGTTTGAATACATTGTGCTACCTGTAGGTGGTATAGGCACCCTCGACAGTGTCACATGTGCTGGTGATGGAGAATACAACAATGGTGGTGGTGGTGGTGTATGGACATGGTTGATGAGGAAGAGATGTGGTGTGGTGGTGATTTGGAACTTGAGACAAAATTTCAAACTCGAGATCATGTGAGAGAATAAACAAACACAAATATTTCACACGGTGACATTGTTTATTTGTTGATGCTATGTTGTCTTCATTAGTGATTTCTGTTCTTACGATCTGGCTGCGCAAATTCTTCATGTTTGAGCGCTTGTGTATCATTTCAATATAATCCCAATACAACTCGATTACTCGACTTACAGGGGTCTTCTTTGTTACACCATCCTTGACCCCCCTCAGAAACCAACAATACTTGTTTGGTGGTTGGACCTGGAAAGATGAGCATCAGAGTCGAGATTTGAGAGTGCGATGGACGAGGGATGGTGCATAGTGTCCACCTGATACCAAAATTTGGTGACACAGCCCAATGAGATTGGACAACCAAGACTGTTCTTGAGGACTATAACACATTTGGGTTGAACTCATGCATAGATAGACATACATTTTCAATATTCAGATAATTCTTGCTAATTCTCACTAATTCTTGTCCATTTCGAAATAATTTCATCTTGCAGCCATGTTATTATCAAATTGGTTCCTAAACACAAGTAATTAGATAGAATTTAACAAATTTTAAAAATTACCTCAATTTAGCCCAGGAGGGTTTTCCTGATGAACGAAAGGGAGGTTCACAACTCTGAAGCATCAATTGACATGAAAATATAAAGCTTTACAATGCTTTATCTAATTGCAAAATTTACATGATATCTGTCAGAATGATACTACCTGGAGTAAGTTAGACAGAACTACCAAAAGCACCAGCATGACAGATTGCCTGCAACAATCTGCCATTTTGTCACCAGCACCAAATTATTCTCATCCTCAGCACTCATTTTGTGAAGCAAATTAATTTCATTTATATTTAAATACTATATATGTAGTTACAGGACAAAAAGAAAACAGGGAAAGATAGTGGAGAGATGAATGAAAGGAGGGACCAAGGCCAGCAAGGAACCACGAGAAAAGGCCAACAAGGAACCACAAAAAAAGGCCAGGAAGGAGCCATGAGGAAAGGAAAGGAAAGGACCACTATGAACAGCCAGAGGAAGGAACCATGAGGAAAGGATGGACCACCACAAACGGCCAGGAAGGAACCACAAGGAAAGGAAGGGCCACCACAAACGGCCAGGAAGGAACCACAAGGAAAGGCCAGGGAGGAACCACCACAAATGACCAAGGAGGTACCACAAGGAAAAGGCCAGGGAGGGACCACCACAAATGGGAGGAATGAAGATGCTGAGTTGAGAGGTGGTGGTAGTAGCGGTGAAAGAAGGATTGAAAGGAACTTGCGTGAAAATTTCCGTCCTGCGCAAACAATGACAAATCAATTTCAACCACTTGCGCTGGTCACATGATTTGAGGTTGTCCGAAAATTCTAAGGTAAAATTTAAGGCTAAGGTGATAGTCACGTGCATGATCTTGGATGACATTGTAATTCACGCAATGTTTGAACCGATCTATATAGTTTTGTAAGTCAAACATAAATGAGGTAATATGATGTTGCTCAACAAATGGTACCTAATTACACTATCATACCTCGCTGGTTAAAACTCTCATAAGAATATAAATTAGGTTACAAGTGCTAACAGTTCTTTCCACGATAAAGTCTTATATCACTTGGTAGTTTAAAACATAAATGAAGGGATATGGTATGAGTCAACAAATATAACTTAACCATGCTATTGCATATTGATTGCTGCAATGGCGCAATGTTGTAATCTTGTCGCGAACTCCTCATGGTAAAATGAATTTTCAGAGATTCATGGCTATCTACTGATAACTAATATTTATTGCCATATACATAGGTATATTCAGCCATAGCATAACAATATCATCTTATACTTCCCATGGCTACAAAATCAAGGACTCATGAATTCACTGATGACTAATGAGACTTAGTTACATTGTTCTCCTAGGTACTTAAGCTCGTACAAAGAGTTCTTACTAGAAACTGAGATTTACATTGTTCTCCTAGCGTCCGCACATCTACTGCCCGAATATCATCTCTTCATGTTCTAGGTTAGCCAAGGCACGAGGCTAACAAAGAAGTTAGTCTATGGGTAAAGAGTTTGTAGCACCCTGTTATGACTCCAAGCTACATCAGTAAACTCCTATGTACTGTACAGTGTCCAAGGGGGACAGCTTGGTCCCTTTTGGACATAGACTCAAAGAAGCACATGATGTAGAGACTCGTGCCTCTCATTGGGTGATATGGCAGTTTTCACTAGGGAGTACATGGCACGAACTTGTAGCATCACTCTGCATGCTATCTGCAGCTATTCCTATATGAGGCGCAGCTTTCACGCGCAACGCGCCACATGCGCGCACACTTCCCGCGCTTCACGATGTATATGCGCGTGCGCTTTCCCGCGCTTGAGCGCCCTATAGCGCCCGCCATCCGGAAGCATCCATCCACTGTCCACCAAGTTCTCTAGTGCGTGTATTTCCATTTGCCCTTATTTGCATATCATACCACCTTTATTCTTATCATGGACCCTTACTTACATATATCTTTACATACCTCACTTGGTAGCGCTTCGGCTCCGCATGACAGCGCTTAGGCACCGTATATAAGCGCCAGCAGTACATAATATTACTCACCTAACTCACTTTCCACTTGACCTCCCACTTACCCACTTACTACCGAGCAGAATATAGTTGCAATCTATTCTTTGGCACCTCGTCTCTCAGCTTGCATCTCTCACCTCATCTAATATCTAATCATCACTTAAGCAAACTCACTCTTACTCTCTCTCATTTCCGCTCATGCGCGCGCACCTTCGCTTTCCCGCGCCTCGTCGCGCGCACCTGTGCTTTTCCGCGCTCCACATTAGCCAACCAGTAGCGCCTTCAGCGCCTACTACCAGATCCTTGCTGCACTCGCTTCCCCTTTAGGGTTGAACACACTTGTTGTCTCAAGTATAGCAGACTAGGCAACGCGCGACCTCACAACATTATAGATACAGTCAGGAGCCTCATTTGTTCCTCTCTGTATTGTTGTTTCTACAACGGTTCTGTTGCACTCTGCACAGATGGTCCAGCAACTCACTCGTGCACAGGACTCATGCTAAAATATGTTACTACTACTAGTATACTAGATATTATTGATCACACGCTGATACCAGAATAAGATGCAAATTAGATCATATTGATAACACGTTAGTAAAAGATCAACATAATAAAACACAGTAACAGATGTATGCAGATATACACGAATAGGAGGTATGCCGGATAAAGCAGCATCAGAGCGGGAATACGTGGAATGTTCAATCAAGAATAATCTGGAGGTGGTCGTGTCTCGACTCTATGGCACCATCAATCTTCGATCTTCAAACTTTCAGTCCTGTATGAATGAAATTAGTATCATAATTTTTGAACAAAATCAATTCCTTACCACCCCACTTGGGCCCATTCCCAGAGCTGCGCTAACAGGATAGGGCCATGATAATGATCCTTCAGAATATCCTTCAGCGACTGGAGTATTTTGCGGTAAATAGGGTCATATTCCTTCGTGGTAAATTTTGGGTAGTATTTTCCATTACTGTTTTTTCTGAGACCGTCAAGGATACAATTGAACTGTGATAAAAAACAAAATGAAAGTCCATATGTCATAATGTTAGTTACTAGTAGAGGAAAAGTACCACGGCGCCAACCAGAGCCAAGCATGATAAGGGTAGCTGGTTTCGGAAAATGTCTGTTCGCCTCTGTGCGATTCGATACAGTCCAGTATAAGAGAAAGCGGTAACACCTTCCCGAAGTGCTGGATGTGCAAAGTTTCTTGTTTTTCCCTTGCATTCTTCCTTAGTATAGTCCAGGTTGGGGATCGTCCACTCACCATATTGTCAACTCCATGGCATAAGAAGAGTGAATTCGCAAGTAATGCAGCAGCAGCTTTTTCGATCCACTCTGCACACAGTTGAGCGGGAACTGAAGGCGGGGGAATGAGTGAGTATTGTACAGGTGCAATGCTCATAACAGACTTCTTCAAGTCAGATCGCCAAGTGGCGAGGTCGTTGTATAACTAGTATAGATCCCAATAAATCAGCGAGGCCTTGATGTGATGAATAAAAACATACCAGCCAAGCCATGTTAGGCTTTTGCTGTGGCCAAATCCCTGTATTGCAGTATCAAAATGTATCAGTTCAAAAAATGAATGAGTGCTTACCAGCCTCGAATTGTTTACCTTCCTGATCCCATGCGACCAAAACTGCAACCAGAACTTCGGTGACAGACACTGGTAGATCTTTGACCAGGGTGGGAAATGGATTCTGCAATGCATGTTCCATGTGACATTCTCCTTTAGCATCCTCAAGAAAACTTTTCCAGCGCGGCCCGTACCAGGTGATTTGAGTGGGCTTTGGTCCATCATTGGGTTCCTTTGATCTTTTGATTCTAGAATGCTGAGTAGGCTTGTTGGACTCTGTTACTTGATGCAGGAGCTCCAGGGTGTCGGGGTCAGGCAGTTGGGGCTGCCTGTTTTTATTGTGGTGGTGCTTCAAGACATCCTAGGGCTTTGAGGCGATGGCCAATAAAAAAACCATGAGCTTCATTTGTTTTAATAGAAATACTGTCTCCTCACCTCAGCATCTTGTAGCTGTTGCCTTCCTTGCATGCTATCTGGAAGGCCCTTGAGACTCCATTCCAGGTTGCCTTGCGGAGTTAGCCACCCCACCAAGGCTCACTTGGGTTGCCATGTCATCCTCATCGCAGGAGAATGTAAATTCAAAATAAGGCGTAAGACAACGACTTGGAGGGAGGCAGGTATGCAAAAGGGGCTCTTCCCTGGAAAATCCTGTGAATTCATATCAATCAAGTAGTTTCAACAATGAGAGTAAAGGCAATCAATTCTCCTTCATGCAGGAGAGTTGGTACCATATGGTGTCAATGCCACAGTAGAATGAGAGTCATAAGTGCAAGAATGTTACCTGGATGGTCGCTGTGACATCTACCAACCTCCCCCCAACCAATCTCCTGCTCTCTCATCTCTCCCTCTGGGCCTGCATTCTGCTCATCTCCATCATCTGGGTCATCTCCATCGTCTTCATCATTTTCATCATCTTGCATCATCTTCATCGTCCTCCCCATCTTCTTCATCAGTGCTGCTATGTATGTACTCCAGTAGATTGAAACTCGGCCCCGCCAGTGTTGGCATCACGCAACACTGGGTCCAGGTTTCATTCTAAAAAGCCAGTAGTCAGTGGTGCTACTGAATGGGCTGCAGTATGACCAATACCAGTATTCTTGGTAAACTTTTTGGGAATGTTCCTGCCAACAGCATCATACAGATTGTTTAGATTTGGCTCAGGAGGGATGATAGGCGAGTTGTCATCGAATCCAAACCTAGCTCCTTGTTGATGCAATGAGAAACACAGCGGCTGTAAGGGCTCCACAATACTGCATGGCTCAGAGGTGTCTGGAACACTGGTGTAAGGTGGTGGAACTGCCGGAATGTGAACTATCAGCACAAGTAATAAGGCCCCTATGTGACAAACCTTTGAACAAATTTTTTGGCCTTTGCGACTACGAGTCAGTTCTGGAGCCTGAGGGTTGATGGGGATGTTGGGACCGAGCAATGTTGAGCCCTTGTGTTGGTTGGTTCAAGATGGAGCCTTGAGCAAAGCACCTATCTTTTCTAACTGTGCAGCCATACCTCCTGTTCCTGCTTTGGACCACACAGGATGCCGAGGAGCGTCAGTACCTGCCGTGTCTGCATGGACCAGACCAAGAGATACAAGGGGCATACTGGATGCTTTGACACTGGTCTCTTGTGCCCGTGACTTCTTTGCTACGTTCTTGGTACTAGTAGCATCTGAACCTTTACACTTCATTGGCCTTTTCTTTTTAGGGCTAGCAAAGGCACAAGGTGTTACAGTTCTATTCTTTTTCACATCTTCATGCTATCACATATGCTTACTCATCATTCCATGGTATTCTATTACATTCTATCGTATGATTCTCTTTCTCTTTTTCCTATTCGCTATTCATATTCAAGCTCCGCTTCAATACCTTTATATATACTTCACTTTCTATGCTTTGTATCTTTAACTTGACCTACGCAGACCAGGGCCTGCAATCTAGCTTCATCTTCATTAGAACATTGGCTTTACTTGAATCTTTGAATGTTAAGACATCTAACCAATGCCAAGCATAACAAAACGTCAAGTTACTCTTTACACGCGCTGTTTTTTAAAAACGTAGTGCATGAACCAGAAAACCACGACGTCTCACTCCACCATTTGCCCACCAGGTTTTACCTGGAGCGACTTGAGACAGACTTTTGTGAAAACAGAAGACAAAGAAACTTGGACCCTAGCTGAGTGGAGGACTTTCTATGATAACCTCGCACCTGTAGGAGAACACTGGAACTTTTGGACCCAGCAATATGAACCCATCAAACCAATCCCTCCCAAACCAGAAACACCCATTCCCCCCCAACGACACCGACTCAGACGATGAAGACATGCCTAAAGAAATCGGCTCTCTCCCTGAAGCCTTCAATGTGTCATATCCCGCATTCCGGACCAACATCCAACGACGTTCCCACGCCTCATCTGGACCTCTGGACCTCCTTTCCATGTCTCCAGACCCAATCCTCTATCCGTCCGGATCCCTGTACTCCTGCATCTGATATCCGGATGCCAGATCTGATATCCACATCTCCGGATCTCCGGATCCGACCTATCTGTCATGTCCGAACTCAAACCTTAAATCAGCGCCCATCCCCTTATGGTAATCACCTGTCTCCGGACTTCCGAATATCCAGATCCGACCCACGTCTATCTTCCATGCCTTTTCCCTTTGTACATTCCTTCTCAAGTTAGGCTAACTCATTTTCCGTACCTCATTTCATTTCCGCCTTTATTTTCCTATGTCCTCATCTCCGTCTTCATTTACTATTTTCCGATAGACTAGTGTTTGACTTTTCTATACCCTCCATCCACAGCCTCGCATAGCTTTGGACTGCGCTGACTGATTCTCCGTTAAAGTCCTCCATAGTATATAAACCCTGTAAAGTCTCTATACTTCCTCAGTCTGAATATTACACATATTAGTCCTTGCACTAGCCTTCACCCTAAGTCCTCGTAACAGTTCTAGTCCTCCGACTTAGTCAATATCCATCTCAGGCCTAGGGAGGTATTCCCTAGGCCGGAGCTCCGCTCCTCCGCTCCTCCACTCCTCGGATCCTCTGATCCACCATTCCTCCAAGTTTCCGGAAGTTCCTCCAGACCTATTCTGCTTCGGACTTTGTCCTTGCAGCCTTTCCTCTGTTTGCTTCTACTCAGGACAAGTCCTGAGTAGCCATTACACATATCCCTGTCAGGACGAAACTCCATCGTAATTTCCGGAACTTTCCCGCACTCGTCCGGAAAGTCCTTCCGAAGTTTCCCATGCTCCTCCGGAAGTCCTTCAGACTTCACTGGACTTCCTCCGGACTTCATTCTGAAGTTAAGGGCACATACTTGGGTAAGGGACGCAGCGCACGAGCTGAAGCCAAGCCCCTTGGAATCAGTCCTACCCTTTGTGCATGGTCTTAACACAATGGCGACACCCGCAAGGCAACCAGATGGTCCCTGCAGATGGAGGCATACATTGCCCTGAACAAAGAAGTATATAACGAGGATAAGAAGAAGATCATCCTCGTCCTCAGCAGAATGACGAAGGGAGAAGCAGCTAAGTGGGCAGAAGGAGAACTGAAATGCGCCACTACTGGAACCACCGGCTTCGGAACATACGAAGCATTCTCCAAGAAATTCAAAGCAATGTTCTACCCAAAGAACATCCAAGACACTGCCATGAGAAGAATTTCCACCCTCAGGCAAACCGGCAGCATAGCCGCCTATGCATCCCTATTCTGCACCATCCTCACCGACACCGGCATCACCAAAGAGGCATCAAAGATTTTATTCTTCAGAACCGGACTCAAACGTGAGATCACCTCCACTATCCTCACCTTCGACACCATCCCCCCCACCATCGACACATGGCTAGATAAAGCCCTCAATGTAGAAGTAAGATGTACATTCCTTGCTCCCCCCGCATTTTCCAAATGGAAGGATCCCTACGCTATGGATATTGATAAGATGGAGGCAGGAGAAGATGATGACGGTGAGAAAAGTACAAGGAAGACTTACCTCATGCCTCAAGAGTGTGAATGCAGGAAGAAAGGCGGCCTCTGCTTCAAATGTGGCAAGAAGGGCCTTATCAAAGACTGCCCGAACCACCCCACGGTAACATCTGCTAGAAAGACCCAAACTAACTCTGCATCTAGCTCCGACAAGGGGGATGCCGAATATCAGGAGTTTTTGGAATGGAAGGTGTTTAAAGCACGCCAGGTAAAGAAATTGAAGAAAAAAGAAGAATCTGAAGATGAGGATTTCTAGAACAGAGATCTGCACCAGTGTCAGAATCTCCATGAGTAGGACTTTTAGTACAGAGCATTGGCGATCGTAATTCTATGCATATTCCACTCACCATCTGCTCCACTAAAACCACAGAAACCACTGAAGCAGCCGCCTTGATAGATTTGTACTCTGAAATTTGATATGAACTCATAAACTCGATAAGCCCATACCCGTATGAAACGTGGATGGCACGCTCAACAAAAATGGAAGAATCACACGGTACTGTAATCTATCCTTCCTTGTCCATAAAATTCCCATGCAAACGCGCTTCCTTATCACCTCCCTGGGAGGGGAAGACGCAATCCTGGGAATGAGTTGGCTAAAGAAAGAAAACCCAGATATTGATTGGACCTGAGAAGAAGTCCACTTATGCGAACAAAGCATCAAACCAACCATCAAAGAGGTTGAAGACGAAGACACCTATTCAGACACACAGAAAGGTACTGATGAGGAGTGGGATCCTTCTAATGAAACCACTCCAGAATCCTTTTCCACCGAAATCCCTGACCTCCTACCCACGGAAGATGACGCTGACAAAACAAATGTTATAGAGCCCGACAAGGTTTTAATCACCTACATCAAAGGTGAACACGTCTTCGGAACATTCTCCATGGAAGTATCTGAACCACCCCTTACTGATGAACATATTCCATCAGATCACTGGCATTACTCAACACACAGCACATTATTACGGAAAGCGGCTAACACATCTCAACTTCTCGCTCAAGAATTTGCGAAACCCATTAAGAAAACTTTTGAAGAACTCGTTCCCGAGTCATTTCAAAAATATCAAGACGTATACAGAGAAGTAGCCAATGGAACTCTACCATCGGAACAGAAATTCAACCACAAAATTGAACTCAAGAACTCTTTCGAACCATGTAGGTGTAAAATCTACCTGCTCAACCCAGCAGAAGAAAAGGCCATGAACGACTTCATCGATGAACACCTCGCCAAAGGAACCATTATACCCTCCAAATCACCGCAATCATCTCCATTCTTCTTCATAGGAAAGAAGGATGGTTCCCTCCAACCATGCCAAGATTATCGCTATCTAAATGATCACACAGTTAAGAACAACTTCCCATTACTGCTAGTATCAGACCTTATAGATAAACTCAAGGACGCCAAGATATTTACGAAAATGGACATCAGATGGGGCTATAATAATGTATGTATGAAGAAAAGCGATCAATGGAAAGCAGCATTTGCCACTGCCCGCGGACTCTTCGAACCGACGGTAATGTTCTTTGGCATGTGCAACTCCCCAGCAATGTTCCAATCCATGATGAATGATATATTCGGTGATATGATCCAAGAAGGATGGGTAATTATTTATATGGACGACATCCTGATTTTCTCTAATGATTATGAAACTCACCAAAAACGAACACACAGAGTACTACTTTGACTTCACGAACACTGTCTTTACCTAAAACCAGAAAAATGCACATTCAACGTAATGGAGATTGACTACCTGGGCATGATCATTCACCCAGGATCGGTAACTATGGATCCAGCTAGATTAAAAGGCATCTCCGAGTGGAAAATTCCCACACAGGTAAAAGATGTCCGATCATTCCTCGGCTTCACTAACTTTTATAGATGATTCATCGCCGACTATTCCACGATAGCACAACCCTTAATTGACTTAACAAAGAAAGACAAACCCTACTAATGGACGAAAGAACGAAACAAAGCTTTTGAAAAGCTCAAAACAACATTCACTAAGGCACTGATTCTTCAGATCCCACATAAACATGCCCCATTTGCAATCGCAACCAACACATCACTTTATGCTACCGGAGCAGTGCTCCTACAAAAAGACGATAACGGAAACTGGTTACCTTGTTCTTATCTCTCTCAATCCTTTAACCCCGCTGAACATAATTATCAAATCTATGACAGAGAACTCTTGGCCATTGTCAGAGCCCTCAAAGCTAGGCGACACTATCTTATAGGATCCCCTTATCCTGTGACCGTGCACACTGACCATAAAAACCTCCAATATTTCAGAGACGTACAAGACCTGAACAGACGCCAAGCATGATGGCAAACTTTCCTTTCACAATTCGACCTTCGTATTCAACATGTACCAGGAAAAGACTTAATCATTCCTGATTTATTATCTTGTAGAGCGAATCACCTTCTGGTTGACGGCGATGAAAAGGATAATATTTCTATTCAACTTCTTCCAGATTCCATGTTCGTTAAAACTATTGACACTTCTCTTATGGACAGATTATGTATCTCTTCATCTATCGACCCTGTAGTACAGACAGCGCTAAAGGCGCTTACGGACCCAGAAACCCTGCCCCCACTCTGCTTGGCTCTTTCCGACTGGAAATTGAGCAACAGTATTCTCTTATATAAAGGACTCACCTACGTACCTCCCGGCGAGATTCACCACAAACTCACTTCTCTCCATCACGACTCCCTTACTGCAGGACACCCCAGACATTTTAAAATACAAGAACTCCTATCTCGCAACTACTGGTGGCTGGGTCTTGCGACCTTTGTCAAGAACTATGTAGAAGGATGTAGTATCTGCCAACAGAACAAAGTCAACACTCACCCTTCTCACCCACCACTCATTCCTATTCCCGCTCCTATTTCCAACCGACCCTTCGCTCACTGCTCGGTTGATCTTATCATGGACTTACCCTTATCTGACGGTTTCGACTCCATCATGGTCGTGGTTGACCATGGACTTTTGAAGGGGGTAGTTTTCACCCCTTGTCTCAAGACTATAGACTCCAAAGGAGTCGCAAACATTTTCTTCTCTAAAGTGTTTTCTAGATACAGACTTTACAATAAACTTATATCAGACCGCAGACCCCAATTTGCCTCTAGATTCCAACTCGAACTCGGAAAACTCCTTGGATACAAAAACTCTCTTTCCACCGCCTTTCACCCTCAGAGTGATGGAGAGACTGAACGAGTAAACCAAGAACTCGAAGTCTACCTTCGGATCTTCTGTGCCAATGACCAGACAGGTTGGGCCACCATGCTTCCACTCGCTGAATTCATCCATAACTCCCAACATCACTCCGCACGCGGCACTTCCCCATTTTATCTTATGATGGGCTATCATCCGAAACACCTTCCCGATTCACATCCTAAATCTGACATTCCTAATATTGAACAACACCTCCTTATGCTAAACAAAGCACACAATGAAGCACTAGCTGCTCATGAACTTGCACATAACACCATGTGTCAACGAATCACGTCCAAATTCATACCATTTTTTATAGGCGATAAGGTATGGCTTGAAGCCAAAAACCTTCATCTCAGATATCCTAATTGGAAGCTCGCTCTGAAACATGAAGGACCTTTCACTATCCTCCAAGTCCTCTCACCCATCACATATAAATTAAAACTCCCTAGTCAATGGCGCATTCATCCAGTATTCCATGCCACCCTCCTCTCTCCTTACAAAGAAAACGACATACACGGTCCCAACCATATCCCTTCACCACCAGATATCATAGATGGAGAAGAAGAATATGAAATTGAGGCCATTATTGGTCATCGTGGTACGACACGTTGTCGTTCCTATCATGTGAAATGGAAATGTTTCCCGAGTTCCGAGAATGAGTGGATGACAGAAGAACAATTGGGTAACACTTCAGACATTCTATCTTTTTACAAACGATCACATTGGCTCTAATATTTTGTAGTAATCTGGGCTTACTACCCTTAAAACAGGGGTAATGTTACAGTTCCATTCTTTTTCACATCTTCACGCTATCACATACACTTACTCATCATTCCATAGTATTCTATTACATTCTATCGTATGATTCTCTTTCTCTTTTTCCTATTCGCTATTCATATTCAAGCTCCGCTTCAATACCTTTATATATACTTCACTTTCTATGCTTTGTATCTTTAACTTGACCTACGCAGACCAGGGCCTGCAATCTAGCTTCATCTTCATTAGAACATTGGCTTTACTTGAATCTTTGAATGTTAAGACATCTAACCAATACCGAGCGTAACACGAGGAGGCATGACTGCAACAAAGAAGCAGAAAGAAAAAATGGGTAAAGAAACAATCCAAGACTCACCTGTATTTATATGATGCCTGTCCTCTTGAGATTTATTGGAAATTTTTCTAAGCAAGTGACTTGAGGTGTATCGAGAGTAATATTCAGACATGTGTCTTATTTGACTCAAATGCCAAGATGACGGTGTAAGGAAAGGATAATATCATGTCCTAAGCGATGTGAGGCAGGTATCAGGCGCGTCAGGCGCATGTTGAACTTAAAGTGTTAAGCATGTGTTTGGGTACAAAGACATATTAATGATTACCGCTACTACTAGTAAGACAAAACCTTGAGTGCAAATGATGCTACTAGTACCAAGAAAACATGGAGAGTACAACCACCACGCTAACACAAGATCGAGAAAAGAGTAACTTATGAAGGTCAAGGTTCCTTCGACCATATGAGTCTACCACGAGTATCAGCCGCTTTCGTCTTCTGCTTCTGCTCTCTTCCGCTTTAAGTTAGCCAAATGCATGGAGATAGGTGACTCTGTTCTGATAGATGACTCCCGCTTGGCAATGTGCTTCAAGTGTTTGACAAGATCATTAAGACCAACAGCAAATTTCTTGAGGTTCTCCTTAGTGGATGAGAACAAAGAGATGCCTTCCGGAAGAGCAGCGAGATGATGCTCTAGCATATCAAGAATGCTGTCAAAAGTCACCTGTATCTCCATGTTGTATTTTAGCAATGTACACCACTCTTTCACCAGGGGGATCAGGTTGGCAAAATATGGGTGAGATTGATTGATGATACAGGCTTCCTCAGATGAAACCGCCAAAAAATAGACTTTTTTTAACTTGCAGGCATTTAGGTCTAGGGTCATCCAGCTATCTGGTAATATCTCATGTGGTGGGTCCTTTGCAGGCTCTTGACGCTCCTCACCATGAGGGCTGCTGTATTTGATGCAAATGTAAATGAACATGTAAAAGAGAGACTCAAGGTCGTCCGCATAGCTTTGTGATACTCGAGATATTGGCAGCATGGGTGTGTTGGAGGATGATTTTCTAGATTGTTGCTTTGTAGCTTGTGCCTGTAGATACACAACCTGGGCAAGAAGCCTGCATGACATAAAAGGAATTGTACCCTGATAAACGAGTCAACAGAGCTCTATGCATTTAAGGGATGTATTTACTGTGCCACCTATAGTATTCACCATTTTCAGAAATGAATACTGTGAACTCCCAGTCAATCAACAGCCCTCTGCTGTCATCCAGTTCATCTACAATCATCGCATTGTAGAGACTACAATTGCGATGCAAAACATTGCACTCTGATACTGCCGTACATTGGACTATGATCCAAGACATTTAACCTAAGACTCGTGCTCAACAAATTAAAGGCTCACTGATAACAATGTCCCTAAGTGCTTTCACAAACTCCCTGAGCATTCGGAACTCAGTAAGGGGGTGGGCGCATGGCTCCATGACAAGGCGAACGTGGGTATGATAGGTACTGAGGGTGCTCGCAGTGTCTGCAACATCTGGATGACAATATTCTTTCGTTCTATCGACCTTTCCATCCGACCTTTCAACCATCCAGTAATCCACGAGTTTTGGAACACCAGGAATGCTGTGCATTGCCTCTAACATCTTGATCTCGTTCATGACCTTGTCCTGGTCGCCCTGAACCCAGTGATCTTTGATTATAAACTCTTGCTTGTCCAAACTGACAAGATAACAAACGGTCCCAGGACCAACAAGGCCCTTTGTCATAAAAAGAATCTTTTGGATGGTGTATATCTTATCATTGATGCGGATCTTGCCACATGGTTCTGCAGGCGATTCAGGGGTATGGGGATACTGGGAAGGATGAGGTGTAGCACTAAAACTAGAATCATCTCCCCCCACAGGAGCTTGAGATGCGAGGTTCAACAAGAGAGCGCTAGTGGCTTCAAGGGGTGGAAGTGGAAGTGGAAGATGGGGGGAAGATGAGGAAGGCAAGGAAGGCAAGGGAGACAAGGGAGGGATGGAATATTCTTCTCTCGAGTTGTGAGAAAAGTCGTGAAGAGGCATTGGTTTGTGCTTGAGGGCGCCACTAGAGGGTCCTTCCTGGAGATCCTCAGGGAATGCATCAAGAGATGGTGCGATCGATGTGTCACAAGTAGTATTGGCTTGAGCAGGAAGGTTTTTGAATGGATGGCAGCCAGGCATAGGACTACCAAAGACAACAGTAGCAATAATTTGGGCAAATGTGTTAGGCTGGTGGTTAATGCTACAGTAGGGAGACACGATGCCACTGGAATGGTCGTACAATAAGACTCTAAGGTCATTATAGCCACTGGTGAAGGATAAAATGAGTGTGAAGCATCTCCAGGGCTGATTGCTCAGCAATAGATATGCTTGAGTGTCTGCAGCTCTCACAAGCCGCTGTGCAGGCTTGTAGCTGCTGACCGTCAACTCAGCACAGACCCTGATGTTGCCCCACTTCAGCTTTATATCATCAGACAAGACGAGATCCGATTTGCGCCTGATTTTGGTGCCTTCTGTGGGAGTCATTGAATGAGCTGCACTCCATATTTGAGTTGCAGATGGTGTGAGCAGTTTCGGCTGTGATTCAGCCATGGAGGTAGCGACAGCATTGATGAATGTAGTGAATATTTCTTTGTGGGTGCTTTTCTCGACACCTGGCAAAGGGATGCAGTCTTCTGCTACACCACCACCGTTAGGATACAATAGCGGAAGCCCCCAGTTCCAAAGCCCTGCATTGGTATCATACAATGGCACCATATCATCTGGGCTGTTTAGGCAAAATGTGTTGTTGATGTGTTTGTTGTGATATATGATTTTACTGAGTTTGATTGTGAGTTTGGCTACCAATGGAATAGGGACTGTGAAAGGTTTGAACATGAGGGGGAGTAAGTGGCCTAGCGAGTCCTCCTCAGGTTGAGGTTCGGTTGTAACTGATTGATCAAGTTCAATGGAGGTCAATTTGTTCATAGTAGAGATGTCATTGAGTTCAGGGAGTGATGCTAGTTTGATTCCATCACCAACTGTTCTATAAAAGGATGCCATTTTGACAGGTAGGCACTCAGTGCTTCAGCAAGAAGAAAAGTGAGACAGCAGAGGGCTTATCGCTGCCACATAGCAACTAAAGATATCCTAGACTGATACAAAAGTAGAAAGAAAAATGCATAAAAGGCATAGAACAGAACATTGGGCCTATCGTGCTACATTGAAAGAGGGAAAAATGTGTTTTTGTCCCAGTACCTATTAAGCCAGAATTCTGATGAGTGTTCAGTGCTGTTATACGGGGTGAGACAATTGTCTGCACTTGCACCAAAGCGAGGGACAACATTAATGGGCGCCCTGAACTGAGTGACTGGAATGATATCACCAATCCGAGTCCTGTTCGACCGCTTCGCCCTCTTGAGCAAATGTAACCTCATAGCTGGTTCATGATCGCCAATATCAAATCATTGCACATAAGTGAGGAAGTGATCCTTTCACGACCATTCTGCGCCCCTCTTTCCAATTGGACACATAATAAGCCTGATTTGAGCAATGCTATGACCTAGATATTCAATGAGATAAGGTTCAGCATGACAGCAAGACATAATGACTCACCACAAAGACCATCAGCAGGCCATGAGTACCTGTTAAGAATGTGCTCAAGGGTCGGATCCGAAGGGCTTGGCTTCAGCTTGTGCGCTGCGCCCCTTACCCGAGTACGTGCCCCTAACTTCCGAGGGTTGTCGAACAATGTCCGAAGGTTACCAGACGATGTCCGGAGGGTGTCGGGCAATGTCCGGAGTCCGATGTCCGATGCGCGGGAATTCCAGCAGACATTCGGAAACAAGAGATAAGATTAATCCGGACGAAGTCCGAACTAGAAAGGAAACAGCGGAGGACTAACAGAGGCAGAGGCAGAGGTGACAAGTCTATAGGAGTTGATCCTAAGACGAGCGGAGGTCGACGAGAGAGAAACTCAAGTCGGACGGAGGAGAGAATGAGCAGAGTCTAAGATGATATTCCAACTAAGGATGTACATAGATTCTACAGGGTTTATATACTACTGAGGACTTATCGGAGAACAGAGATGCGCAGTCCGAAGCTATACAAAGCTGTGGACGGAGCGTATAGAAAAGTCAAACGCTAGTCTATCGGAAAATAGTAAATGAACCCGGAGATTAGAACAGATGAAAATAAAGGCGGAAATGAAATGAGGTACGGAAAATGATATAGTCTAACTGGAGTAGGAACGTACAAAGGGATAAGGCATGGAAGTTAGACGCGGGTTGGATCCGGACATAGATAGACGCAGGCCGGATCTGGACTTTTGGAAATGATGTGTGTGATAGGTCTGGGTCCGGAACGCGGGATATGACAGTATCCCCCCCTTAGGGCCGAGCCCATGAGGCTTCTGATTCGGAAGTCCGGTCCAGAGTTTTATGAATGCGAGATGATGGGCGGAGCTCGTAAAAATAGCACTGAAACATATAAGTAGGCCGGAATGCCCAGGAAACATTTAAAACTTTCCCCCTAACTCCTATTACTGCTTTTAACATGTCTAACTCCACTTCCGGCAACAAGAAGTCCGCCCGACAACTCCTCGAAGAGAGACAGGCGGAAATGGTCGCTGAAATCGCACGGCTCGAGGCGGACACTTGGAGAGAGGCGGAGGAAGAAGAGCGCAAGCGCAAGGAAGCGGAAGAGGAACGGAAACGCGTGGAGGAACAGAAGCGGAAGGACATTGAGGAAACTCGGAGGGTGTTGGCTGAACGCGAGCGGGAGCATCTGATGAAGGCTAGAGCGGATAATGCGTCGGAGGTGAGTCGGATGAGGTTTTTTATGTTTTCCGAAAATTCATAGAGTCTTAGTCCTCCGGTCCGACGGATCCGGAGGTCGCATGCAAGATGTGCGTCACCAGGCGCAAGGCTTGCACCTGGGCAGTAGTGTCCAAGACGCCTAGAGTGAGTGTTTGCTTTATCCGGATCCAGATGATTGCTAATGATTCCGGAAGATCTGGACATGTGACCAATGCCGCACGTCCAAGGAAAAATGCGTCGGCAGAAATCCGCCTGTCAAGGCACCGGCCGGCAAAGGCAAAGGCAAGAAACGCGTGCGTCCGGAGGGATCTCCGAGTCCCAAGGGCAAAGGCAAGCGGTGCCAGAGGAGTCTGGAGGACCTTGACGATGATGTGGAGATTATCTCCAGTCCCCGGACGGTTATTGGGGAGGGGCAAGACTGGACGGAGTATGACGACCAGGCCTGGGTTGCGGCCGCCAACAATATAGTGGCGGAACTGGCCCGGACGAATGGGCTGATGGAGAGGGGTATTGCAGCGGCGGAGGGAAGTAGAGCTGCAATGGACCGGGTGAGTGAGACTATGCTCCGGTTCATGGAGGAGCAGAGGGAGTTTCAGACTCTCTTCATGGAGAGTCTGAGGGGCGGTTTCCGGATGCATGTAGAGGATGCTCCGGAGGAGGAAAATGCTGAGGAGGCGGAAAAGGAGGCCGGCGGATCCGGCGGAGATATGGAGATGGACTCTTAGGTCGTCGGATCCGAAGTCCTGGATATCGGACGCCTAAATAATGTACATATATGCATGTCCTGTTTCTTACTCATTTGTTAGAAGTTGGTCCTGGCTTATCCGGATATGCCGAGTGGAAATCTGATAGAAGTTCCGGCGCATTTCCGAGTTCGGTTGCGAGTATCCAGGAAGTTTCTTCGTCCGTCCCTTCATATCCGGCCCAACGTACTAAATATAGTAGTTGGCAGTGTCGTCTCCGGCGGTCGATCTTGGAGTCCAGGATTTCGGAGATTTCGTATTCCGGTTCTCCGTCGACTAATACCGGAGGCGGAGGAGGTTGGATGCGATTAGGAATAGTGTTCGGAGTTGCGGGTTCTAACTGAGAGACATGGAATACGGGGTGCACGGATCGCATAGCGTCCGGAAGATGGATGGTGAAGGAGTGGGTGCCGGGACTGAGCGATGATGTCGAATGGTCCGAGATTCTTTTCTGAGAGCTTTTTCGATGGTCGGGTTCGAGCGGAAATATTTTGCTTTGACGAAGACCTGATCTCCGACTTTGAAGTCCGGAGCGGGTTTCCGTCTAGCGTCCGCGGGT